TCTGCTGCTGCCTCGCTCAGCTGCTGCTTGTCTGTCAGAACCTCCAGGTGCTCCCCATAGAACTTCTAACACCGAATGCAATTGTCGTTCCTGCACTTTTTTAGCGTGATGGTCATTAAAAATGTCAATGGTGTAAAATCAAAATTTGATTAAAAAAGGAAAACCATGCTAGTTGCTCTTAATCTTCCTATTTAACAATAGCAAAACATTCATTAATTTCTCACTTGAAGTTGCTGCAGAATTCCTAGTCTGCAGCATGGACTTCTTTTCTGCCCTAAAATACACAGTATTCTGCTTACAATTATACTTTCACTTATATCTCATTTAAAAAAAATCCATCTTCTTTCAGAAATTCTGTGGATTTGAAAGTTAAAATTCCTGAAGAGGTCTGCTGCCATTACCAAAATGTGTCTTCCTTGGGTAGAGTGGTAGCCATGAGACAAAGGGACTCTTTCTTGTTCTTAGTAGATCGGATAGCTCCATTAATCATGAGCTTTAATTACTCTTCTTCTCATAACTTGTATAATATCAGATGTTATCAGGCCTTGGTCATACATTTGTTGAACACCCAAGACTGTGAATTAACTGAATCTGTAACATCTGTATGCATTACAAAAATGGATGCAACCTTTCATAGAAGCCCTTGGGACATGCAAAAAGAGGTCAAGGAAGCCCTTAATGGTTACATTTATTGTGTTATCTTTCACTTGGTCCTGTATATTCTAGGGATGTGTTTGTGTATCCATTTAAACAGTTAACTGATGAGCCCTGGCTCATCGATCAACCCTCATGGTTACACACAAGCCCTCACCCCCCACACTCCCTCGCTATTATCTCTATATCAGAGGCAGCGGGGGAGAGGTGTACGCTGGTACTTAAAAGCCAGCTCTCGTGGTGCTGGCCACCCCTCCCCGTCCCCTGCCTGTAAACATGTAACCCCTGAAATGTTCAGAGGATACACTTTACCAATCTTCCCCCCCCCCAAAAAAAACCCCCCAAATCCCTTGCTTTTTAACATCCCTAGTTTATTCTCATAGTATTGATCTTCTGTCTGACTCAGGCATTTCTAGAAGCTCCTATCTCTATGGCAATGGGTTCTCAAACTTTTTGGCCTGCAGCCTACCCCGCTCAATGCAAAACCGTTCTGTAGACCGCCAGCCAACTGCCCATGATGCCTTTGCTTGTCTCCGGCTATCTTAAATACTAAATTATTCATATTGGACTGCTGAAGCATAACAACTTTATGCAGCTATAACACATGGGGACATATATAACCCATAAGAAAGGACATATTAATAAAAATCAGAATAAATAAATAGATTAAGAGCTTTAACTTTATCATGTTAGTTTGCCAAATTTCATTTTAAATAAAGTAAAGTATTAATTTATGTCCAAAACAAAAGGGTTCAGCATTATCTTTATCGGGGGTGGGGAAGCTTTTTGGATCAGAGACCACATAAAAGTGAGGCAAAATAAAAACAACAAAAAAGCAGCCCCCCAACCCTCACTGATATGGCCCCCCCAATTGAGTAACCTCACTCCCTTGACATTCCGATCCCATAGGAGGAGGAGGTAGAGAGGACCGAGATTCAGGACTTCCCGCAGGCCAGATTAATTCTTCTGGAGTCCCAGGATTAGTAGATTTTTGTGTGTCGTCGTTCTCTCCCCCCGCCCCCTCGGCAAGGTTCTGGGACAAAAATGAGGAGTTCAGTGTATGGGAGGGTACTGCCAGGGAGTGGGATGGAGCTAGGGGTACAGGAGGGGGTGTGGGTCAGGGATCTGGATAGGAGGTAGGGTGCTAGAGCAGGCTAAGAGTGGGGGTCTGGCCAAAAGTTTGGGTGCAGGAGGGAATGAGGGTGCAAGATGTGTTTAGTAGATGTGCTTTTTTAACCTTTAAACCAAATATTTGTTAATGATTTTATAATTTCTAATTGATTTCACAGAGAATGCATTTTACCTGGTGTCCAAAGACCTGTTTCTGTGGACTTGAATTTGATTAAACCTCTGTCTTCTGAGCTGGCATTTGAAAGCAGTTTACAAAACACTAGCAAAAATGAATAATAAAATGGGTTATTTGGTATGGACAATTGGACATTTTCATGTATGTGGTTCTAAACTGTTTTCCGGCTTTAGAACTGCAATGAGAACATGCACGTTAAGGATCAGTAGACATAAGAGTGCCATACAAAGTGTGAACCCAAGAAGATTCCTGTTAAATGTTCCTTCTTGTGGGCTTGAATTTTCTCTGCGATTGCTGTCTCAGGGGATACCTGTGTATTGTAAAGGAGATGCCACTGTACAAGAACAGAATGCTACAAAGACTCTATTAGATGAGCATGTGCAACCCTATTCTAGTGCTTTGGACCCTCTAGAAGAAGATAGGAGTAGTGTTGAAGAGATACTTATAGAGAAGAGTGAAAGGAGTCTATCACAGCAGTTCTTTGATGACCTTCAAAAATGCACATCTCCCACTGATGTTTTAGATCTAGTTTCAAAGTCTGCTGCCTCCTGGAAGCATTGTAGTAACTGTTTTACTACTATGTGGGTGCTCACTAAAAAGCTGTCAGAAGACCAGAAGCGTTATGAGAGACAACTGATGATTGAACATCCTGCATTTATGAAGTTGTGTCAGCATCTGATGCAAGATTCTAGGAGCATGTGGTGTGATGACTTGGTATACAGTCTACATGCCGTGCTGAAGCTAGGTATACCCCAGAACACTCGACTGGTTCAGACCTTGCTGAGAGTCTGTCAGGTAAGTATTGGAATCTTTTAAAGATTGGAATAACATTCCAGCAACAGTTCTTAGAGGTTGTAGAGCTGTAGTGTCCAACTAGTTGTGAAGCAAACTATCCACATTCAACTGGACAAATAGTCACATTGTTCAAGCCAACTAGCCACTCTGACTTTGCCAAATAGCCACATGTGGCTAGTGGCTAGCATGTTGGACACCACGGTTGTAGAGACTACAGATTCAGAGTGTCTCCACATGAATATCTTTGATTTGAGGTGGGAGGGGGGGTGTTATTCCTCTATATGAATCACACAATAAAAAGAGAGATGGCTCAAAGAGTATTTGCATTTCAGGCTGTGATAAAACTTTAGGTCTTCTTAAGGGTTAGAAAAACTTTTTTCTTCTTCCACTCTTACTTTATCCTCTCCTCACCTACTGTGAGGCAGGTTTGAAAGTGAGCATTTGTGAAGAAAGGTATTTTTGATACTTTGATTTGAGGGGAGAGGCCAGTGTCCTTCTTGGCTCCTAGTTGCCTTTGGCTGCTGTCTCTGGGAACTTGTTATGGTTTACCCACTAACATCTGCTCTAAGGATGTTAAAGAGTGGTTATTTGGCTAATTGTGTAGTCGATACAATTTGCACGATTATTTGATAAGGAGGCTGCTCTGCAGAGTCTCAGTGAGGATAACTCCTGGAGCTGGCTCGAGCTGGAACTGAGCAGTCCCGTCTCACTCTGACTCTGGACTGCTGCGGCTCTGCATTTTAAATGTATTAAGAGTCACTGGGTTCTTACTCCCTTTAAAATGCAGAACCGCAGCACAGGTGGCTCTTACTACATTTTAAATGCAGAGGCACAGTGGTCCTGAACCAGTGAGAGTCAGGGCTGTCAGCTCCTGTTTGTAGCGGCCCAGGCTGGCTGCTGCTAACAGAGGCTGGGGCAACCAGCCCCCCCCTCC